TTCGTTCATGGGTTGCTGTGAGTCGGCTACCACTCGACAGCACTTAACAACAATGACAACAAAGGAAGAAGCTCAAGACACACTGAATCATTGGAGAAAAACATGCCAGGAATTGGCAGATTACTAATTGAAAAGCTTCAACAAAAGGATGCTACACTGGAAGCATTTACTCATTTATGTCAAGAAATTTGAAGACATCTATATTAACAACCAACTAGAAGAGATCCATATCTATGTCCATCCAAAGAAAGGAGGTCAAGTGTAATTAATGTCACACGCTAGCAAAATTATGCTAAAGATAGTTTGTTTTTATTTGTTTATTTCCCTCTTAGGGCCAAGGTGCTCCTAATTCTAGTCATGGTATTCTGAATACCATGCATGTGGAAGCTGTGCAATGAATAAGGAACATTGGAGAATAATGGGATCTTTTGAATTGTGGTCCTGGTGAAAAATACTGGAAATACTTTGGATGGCTTCATAAAAGGCTGTTGAACTGAATGTATTACTGCTGATAGAAAATAGGTCTTGGCTGAAAAGAAAGAATACCAAGAAGAAGAAAAAAATTATTTATAAATGACTGCAGCCATACATTGATCAAGAAAGTGCCAGAAGTTGAATTGTACATATTTTTTTTAAATGGTGTCCTTAATAATAGACCTGAAACTTCATCAATTATCTGAAATAAACAAGTGCTTTATGATCTGGAATTCTGACCACCTAGAAACCTAGTTTTAAAAGCCGTGGTAGCATATGGTAGATTATTTTTCTGTTGACCAAAAGGTATATAGTTTAAATTCACCATCTACTCCATGGAAGAAAGAAGCAGTTTCCTCCTATAAAGGTTTATAATCTCAGAAACCCAGTAGAAGGTCTTTATAAGTTATAATAGAATCTACAGCACTGAAGAAACGTGTCTCATAATCTTTAGCATACTTTATAGACTTAAAATCCTATCTCAGGATATAGGGGAAAGCCACAAAGGATACACACACAACTTCTAACAGTGGACACCTTTGGGGAAGTATAGAATTGTGGAGATGGGGTCAGGGGGTTTATGGGGAAAGTAAAGGAACAGATTTTTTTCCCCAAGACATATTTTTGGTGATCTATGGGATATTCAGCATTCTCAACACAACTCAGAGATTTCAATTCTTCTGTCATCCTTATCCATTGTCATGAACACTAGAGGAATGTGGACAGTGCATTAAGGAAGACCAAAGAAGGACTGATCATTTTGAATTTTGGTATTGGTGAAGAATATGGAATAGTACCATAGACTGTCAAAAGAATATAGACTTTTTCATGGAGAAAGTGCAACAAGCATGCCTCAAAGAGGCAAAGATGCTGAAACCTCATCTCCATCTCACGTATTTCACACATGTTAGGAGGACCCAGTCATTGGAAATAGACATCATACTTAGAACATTAGAGTCAGTTAATTGACACACTGACTGCAACAGTTAATTGAGAATAATGGAGATTGTGAGAAAAGCACAGACTAGCACAAAGTTCTGATCTGTTGTTCATAGAACTGCTTCAAGTGATAATTGACTCGACAGCACATAACACAGCCTGTGAAAGCTGACAAGAGTAATGAAGACCTAAGAGGAAGTAATTCATTTCAATTAAGGTATTGGCAAAGAATATTAACATAGGTTATCAAAAGAACAACGTTGTCTTTAAAGAATTAAAGTTGTGAGGCATCTAACCACACAAAAAGAAGTATTTCTTTAATTTAAAAAAAATTTATTATTTGTGTGTACCGTCAAATCAGATCTGACTGGTACAGGAGGAGATTGCCCCTCCTTCTCCAGCAGAGCATCTGGTGGATTCAAAAGCACATACATCTGGGATTGCAGTGCAGCTTCTTGTCACAAAATTTTTCTTTTCTATTGGTTTGCTTACAGAGTTCATATACATTGTTTTTCACCCCAGATCTTTATCATTTCCTTTACCCACCCCTCCTTCTACTTATCTGTTGGGCAATGTTGGGGAGGAAGGGAGGGCCTCTGGCCAGGGCAGATCGCCTAAGCTCCGGATAAGTGTAAGCCTCCCAACAGCCTTTAATACAGGGTAGAGAAAGCTCCCCTGTGTTTGACCATACTGGCTTGAGAAAGCTCGCCACCTGGGAAGATGGCTGCCGCATCTGTTGAGCTGGGAGTAGTCTGCAAGAGGTTGAGGTTCTCCTATCCAATCCGCATGTCCCACATCTGCAAGCCCACTCTATCCTGTCTTCCTGTTTACTTGCTCGTATATAAGTGTGCTGCAGTCCCCCAATAAAGTCAGTGCAGCTCAACCTGATCGACTCTCCGGAATGCTTAAGAAGTGGTGTGTCTCCATCGTGCTTAGTCTCATCAGGGTGTTGCTTTTCGAACGGACAGCGACACCCATCAAATTGTACGACCCTATAATTATACTCCCCCCCCCCCGCCCATCCTAACCCCATCTGGTCCCACCCTCCCCCTCTTGGATCCTCATACACATTTTACTAGTTATCTTTCTATTTCTACCAATAGTGATCTTATTCTTCTACAGTATTTGTCCTTATGGGACTGAGTTCACTTAATATAATGCTGTCCAGTCCCTCCCAAGTTATGTAGTGATATTCAAAATCATTGCTCCTGCATGCTGCATAGTAGTCCATCATGTGAATGTATCACAGTTTCCCAATCTATAGCTTGTGGTTGGACATTTGGGCTGTTTCCATGTTCTTGCGATAGTGAATAACACTGCCATGAACGTTAGTGTACAAATCTCTGCTTATGCCTCAGTTCTAATTTTTTCAGGGTATATTCCTTGGTACAAGCAGTCAGGAAATAAGGAGAAACATTGCACTGGGAAAATCTGCAGTTAGGGACCTCTCCAAATTATTGAGGAGTTTGAAGACTAAGGTTTGTCTTATTCAGACCATGATCTTTCCAAATACTTGCTATGCATTTGAGAGCTGTACAATCAATAAGGATGACAGAAGAATTATGGTGTTGGAGAAGAACACTGAACATCCTATGGAGAGCCAAGAGAACAAGCAGACATCTCTTGGAGAGGGTACAGCCAGAGTGCTCTTTGGAGGCAAGAATGATGAGGCTTCATCTCACATACTTTGGGAAAGTTGCTAGTAGGTGATATTCCTTAGAGAGGGACATGATGTTGGGGAGGGTGGAGGGCCAACTAAGTAGAGGAAGACCCTCAACCAGATGGATTGACATGGTGACTGCTGCAGTGGGCTCTTATATGTCAAGAAGTGTAAGGATAGCACAGGATAGAACAGAAGTTTGATCTTTTGTTCATAGGGTCATTATGAGTCGTACTCAACAACATATTCCAAGCAGTAGAATACCTGGGTCATATGGATTTTCTACGTTCAGCTTTTGGAAGAAACATCAAACTATAAAAAGAAGAAGTATTTTAATGGGGAATTCTAATTTGTTTTCATGTGGATACATTTTAATAAATTTCATATGTTGTTGTTTTTATGTGCTGTTGCCAATTACAACTCATAGTAACCCTGTGAACAATGGATTTGAATTCTGCCCTATTCTGTGCCATACCCAGCACCCCTGATACACTGATGCATTTCATATAGTTTCAGTAAAAGTATTATAATATGCATGATCCAAACATGGAGAGGTATTGGATACCTTTGTGTATGCAAAAATATATAACAATGCTGTGAACTATTCTTTATTAAGAATAGTATCCACTGTAAATAATCAGTCTTTCCTCACTTAAGTAGCGAGTTATCTTTTGCTAAAAGAAAATAAAAAATGAATGCCTTAAAATAATATCCCATAATATTTTATTGAATCTGCTTATGTAGGTATGTATTTGAATATTTTGTTGCATTTGTTGACAAGAGTCTTGATTTTGAGCATATGGGGCGTCAGTTGAATGTCATTATCTTATTTTTCTTTTTATGACAGTGGATACTTTTTAAGCTACTGGTTTAATCAAATAGGAAATTTTAAAAAATAGAATTTACAAAATAATTCCTCTTTGCTTAGTTCCTGGAAGTTACTGCTAATGAATAACTGCAGGGTAATAGATTTTTCTAAATTGGGATCAGTATGAAACAGCTGACTTATGTGATTATGGTACTAATTGCTCTGGCATGAGTTCTGCTTTCGCATGCCTATGAACCAGTTCTTTAGTGTTCTTCATGCTACCACAGTATCTTTGTGCAATGATGTCATTAGGTTTTTATTAAGCACCAGTAAAATTATAAAGCACAAACACCAGTGCAAGTGTCAACAACCTGTTCTGTAATGAAGATTCTATTCAGATGTTTTCTGGACTCAGCAACATTATCCAGTAGAACTTGCTGTGATGATAGAAATATTCTTTTTCTATTCAGTACAGTAGCTGTTAGCTATGCAAAGCTACTGAGCTCTGGAAATATGATAAATATGACTGAAGAATCGGATTTTTTAGTATTATTTAATTTTAGGTAAGTTTTAGTGAACACATGTGTCTAGTGACTACCTTATGAGACAACACGGATCTAGAACACAGTTCCTCAAACTCTGATATAGACATGAATAATCTGAGGGATTTTGTTAAAATCCAAATTCTAATTCAGCAGGGCAGAGTTGCTAAGTTTGTAATCCTGCATTTCTACTTCAAGATGATGCTGATGCTTCTGGTCTGGGGATCATATTTTTAAAAGTATGTGGCTAAAATGTGCTTGTATCTGCTTATTTTGAATTAATACCTTGAAGGAAATAAAACATTTATAAATTGTCACACAGCACCAGGGTTTTCAGTGGTCCTCACTCCCAATTTGGGAGTCTTTGTCACAGTGTTTTAGTGGTGCAGCATGTGCGACTGTCAGGCCAGCATACAGCCAGGAGGTTTTGTGATTTTCCCCAGGGCTCACTTGGATATGTGTAGGAGGCCGAACTTTTCCTCCTGTATGTCATGTAAGGTTAAAGAGTTGCCTACTAAAGACACTTTATTTCAACTTCCTCATTTTCCTAAAAGAAAATTAAAATTTTTCTTTACAGATTTTTTGTGGGAAGCTATGTGAAAATCTGAAATACCCTCTCTCATCCCTTTACAGTACAGTGGTGCCATCTGATGGTAAGCCTTCTTATAATTTCTTTGACTTAATTACATACTAGAGCAAAGAAACACTGCATGGTTTAAAATCGGGAAGGGCATATGCCAGGGATGTGTGCCGTCTCCACACTTTCTCAATCTATATGCAGAACAGATCATCCAGGAGGCTGGGCTTTGTGAGGAGGAGTGTGGCATCAGGACTGGAGGAAGGTTCATCTGCGTTATGCAGATGACAGAACCTTACTTGCTGAAACTGAGGAGGACCTGAAGCACTTGCTGCAGAAGGTCAAGGGCTAAAGCCTTCAATACGGATTGAAGCTTAACATCAAGAAAACAAATATTCTCACCACTAGTTGAATTGACAGCATCATGATGGTTAGTGAAGAGAGTGAAATTGTTAATAGTTTTAGTTGTTTGGCTCCACAATCAATGCTCTTGGTACCAACACCCAGGAAATCAAAAGACAAATTGCATTTGGAATGCCTGCTGTCAGGGATATTTCCAGAGTACTGAACAGCAACGATGTCAGTCTGGAGACTAAGACACACCTGATACAGGCCATAGTCTTCGCAGTTACGTGCTATACATCAGAAAGTTAGCCAATGACTAGGAATGTTAGAAAATTGATGCCTTTAAGCTGTGGTGCTAGAGAAGAGTATTGAATGTACGATGGACTGCTAAGAAAACAAACAGGTGTGTCCTGAAGAGAGTTAAACTGGGCTGCTCCTTGGAGGCCAGGATTCTGAAGCTTTGTCTGACCTACTTTGGGCATGTTACAAGGAGGGACCAAACCTTGGAGAGGGACATTATGCTTCGGAAGGTAGAGAGACAGTGCAAGAGAGGAAGACCTTCGATGAGATGGATTGTCTCAGTGACTGGGGTAATGGGGATAGGTGTGTCAGACAGAGACAAGAAGGTTGGCTCAAGATAGAGCAGGGTTCAGAGCTGTTGTACAAAAGGTTACTATGAGATGTAGGCAACTTGATGGCACATAACAATAATTTACTTGCATTTTTTTTTCCAAATAAATGGATAGCTGTGAGTTTTGAGTAAAGCACACTGAATACTCTTGTATTCCTTCTACCCATCTACACCCCTATCCTGAGTTCACTTTGGCCATTTTCTGTTTCCATAAGATTTTCCTATTTTTTTTGTCAGACTTCCACCTCAACACTCTTAGGTGATAGATATGAACTTTTTTGTTTCTGCCCGGAAGGGCTAAACTTTTTAACTGAAAAGGCTCTTACGAATACATTTTTTAACTTTAGAAAAACGTAGTATTCACTGTCTGTATATACTCACCACATCATCAATCTTCAAAATACTCTGGACAGTTTCAGTTGCTAGAGTCAGAGTGCTGAGTGAAACCAACTGGAGCTGGACAACAGACTCCTCTAAAATGAGAGATATTCTGTCCTGGAAGTCACATAATACGCTTTATTCTGTATGCAGTATCAGCAGTTAATGTTGTTACCAGTGCTCCTTCTGAAGATCTTTTAAAACCTAGATTTTCTGAGCTGCTTTAGAATAAGATATTCTACTAAGAATGCCTCTACATTATCTGTGGGCTGTATGTCAAATAAAATTTGGAAGAGTTAAAAAGAAAGATAAAATTACAGTATAATGTGGTACATACATAAGATGATATAGATAGGCAGAGAATATGTAACCTGTACTATACAGAAAGTGACATGTCAGCAACATAAATTATTATGAGAATAACGATGTTTATGAACTGTGTTTTGGTATTTGTTTTAGAATTCTTATATTTTTAAAGTGAGTTTTATTTATTCCTATATTATCTTTTTCTCTTTTTTGACAGAAATTAAAGTTAATTATAGATACGGCCTTCCTTTAATAACGCTCCCTTTGCCATCCAGAAATGAGCGATGCCAATTTGTAGTCAAACCAATGTTATCAACAGTTGGTTCATTCCTTCAGGACATACAAAATGAAGATAAAGGGGTCAAAACTGCAGCCATCTTTGCAGCAGGTATGTATATATATGTGTGTGTGTGTGTGTGTATCTTTTTATCTATATTACCTATTTTATAAAATACTTCTTTTCAATCTTTCTTTTAAATTTGTACATATTTTAATTCACTGTGTAACAGTTGACTTTTACTGAGCTCATTTTACACATTACTTATACTAAAGATTCAACTCTATTGAACAAAAATTCATAAAATAAATGTTAACTACTTATTTCATAATTTAGCCTGAAATATTTTTCTCTGAGATATTTTTTATAGTATAGGCATTACTATGTAATTTTAAGGAAAATTTAAATAATTAGACAATTAAGTATATTTTTGGTTGTTTAAAATAGCTATTGCATAAGCATATGTACAAATAGCTCATTAATCTGTGTTACAAAGCAGTTATAGTCTATACGTTTTTTGATATTGAAATCAGGTAACATATTGGGAAAATCTGCTACATAACACCTCTTTAATAAACTAAAGCGCAACGACTTCACTTTAAGCATTAAGATATGCCTGACCCAAATAATAATATTTCCTGTTGCCTCATATGACACTGACTTATAGGCATATGGATGATACCCTTTGACTCTATGACTCAGAATATTATAATTCAAGATAGATCTTGAAATACTCTTTTTGTCTATGAATGCTACACTATTATCTTTGATCTGTCATTTTCAGAGTAGTAGATCATATGATGTTGCTGTTGTTATGTGCCGTCGAGTCGTTTCCGACTCATAGCGACCCTATGCACAACAGCTCTAAACCCTGCTCTATCCTGCACCAACCGCACAGCCTCTGACACACCCATTCCGATTACCCCAGTCACCAAATCAATCCATCTCATAGAGGGTCTTCCCCTCCTGCGCTG